AGCCTGTTGAACCACGAAATCAAGTGTTTGGGATAACCGGGTGACTCGGAGAAAAAGGATAAAATTTTATTTTAAAATTATAGTTCAGAATTCCATATCGTCATTGCTAACAATTTAAGGGAAAGTTGATCTACTTAATAATTTATTAAACTTTGCTTGTTCCTAGTTTATGTTAATCGGAAATCTGAACTCAAAGGAAATTAGCACAGATTTTGTAAAGAGGCTCGACTAATAACTCTAGCTTTTCACCCAAACATGAATGTAGTATATACGCAGGATGCGAATTCATTATAAGTGAACAGATAAAGCAAAAAATAATAAACGCACCATGATTAAGTATTGCCCAAGAGATCCACTCTACTAGATACGTTAACTCAACAAGAACAGGATCTTGCTTTTGGGAGGATTTGCATCCTTTTAGCCTGGCCTCGCTAGCAAGATCTAACTTGTCTGCCGCTTTCTTAAGGCATGAGGTCCAAAGAAGGAGAATGTTGATCAAAAGAGGTCTGTGCAGAGCAAGTGTGATCGACCGTGGTAAACCAGCGATGTGAAGAGCCTCGAGGTCAGCATATCTGCTAATAAGACTGGTTTTCTCACCAGCACACATACCATGTAAGGTGTCAGGTCCAAAGCCACTAGTACTCGAAGCGGAGCTCTTTTTATCAGCTATGGAGATAGAGGACTGGCTGGAGATGCCCAAGAGGAATGACGATGAAGCCTGAGCAGCAACCAGATGATTCAACACAGATCCCTTTGATAAAGCCACATCCATAGGAGTCTGTAAGTCCATCCAGGTGACAAGTGCACGAGATGGAGCTTCTTGCAGTAGACCTGCAAGTGAGGCAAGCTGACGCTCACAAGTTTTCTGCTTTGGCACCACAGACGAGACCATCTGATGCTCAGAGGGAGTAGTGGAGGAGGTAGAGGTGGTATTGGTAGCAGTGGAAACTAGTGAACTCTCAGAAAGATTCGAACCTAATTGACTTAAAATATCCAAATGTCTATAAGGAGATGTAGGATTGAGGTTAACCTTCTCATTTGCCCGGAGTGCAGAATAAGAGAAAGAAGAAAGTGAAGTTGGAAGGAGTCGATTGCATAGCAGGGCAGCCTGTTGGAAATCGG